GACGAGGGAGGAGGGAAGACGACGACGACGACAACGACGACGACGACGACGACGACGACGGCGACGACGTCAAGGAGGGACGACGACGAGACGCCGACGACGGACGACGACGACGACGAGGGAGGAGGAGGAAGGACGACCACGGCGACAACGACGACGGAAACGACAACGACGCCAAAGAGGACGACGACGACGAACACGAAGAAAGACAGAGGACGACGTAGGCGACGACGACGACGGCACGGGAGGAGGGAGGACGGCGACGACGACGACGACGACGCAAGAGCGCGCGCGTACGCTTTTGTTGATCATCAGTTTTGCGAAACTTTGTGCTTTTGTAGTTTTGTTCGACACACGCCGTTGAAATCCTTCCGAAACCGATGGGTTTTGACGGATTTCGGCATACGCACGCGACGACGCGTGCGTCTGCACTTCGTCCCATTTGTTGCAAGGGAACCTCGCGACGGCAAGGGCGTTCGACAGATTTCGACATGCGCGCGTGAAGCCCTTTTGGTGGTTTTTGTGAAAATCTTGAAAACACCGATGGTTTTCTCAGGATTTCGCAAGAGCTCGCGCGCAAACTTCTTTAGCAAATCCGAGTTGCGAAACCATGTGTTTTGTATGTTGTTTGAGAAACTCAGTTGCGAAAACTTTCCGACACCGAATATTTTTGAAGGATTTCGGCATGCGCGCGCGACGACGCGCGCGTGCGCACTTCGTCTCGTTTTTAGCAAGGGATTCGTGCAACAGATTTATGTTAGAACAAACTATTTCCCCGCGTTTTTTCTCTTTACAAGGGAACCACACGGGGGCCGATACCGCCCCCCCTGGGAAAATGAAAATTCAAATTTTGGATGGACATTTGGTCAGAATCGTACATGATTTACATACCCGGAAAGGGGGTTCATATAACGACGGGAGGGGGGAGACTCTATACTCTTTTCAGAAAGGAAAATAGGCACGGTGCAACATATGTTGCGCAATGTATGCCGTGCACTATACGCAGCTCAATGGACGTAGTGCAAGACATGTTTGTTCGCACTGAACTGTCCATTCAAATGTTCGCGCAATCATCCCACATACCCACCCGAAACTTGGTTTGCAAAACGCATGCGGCGACAGAGTGCCTGGAGTTGGCTGGTGCATCTCTGCGGCCGCGCTAGCCCGTGCATGCTTGCGCGTGCAACGGCCAAATAGTTTGGCGCGACCGACGCGGCCACGGTGGCACTGACCCTTGGGCATTTCCCAACGGGCACTTCACTGCGAGTCGGCGACATGGGCGGGCGGGGTATCATGGCAACGTCAGCAGCGGTAGGCGCGATGATGGTGGTAGCGATGCTGGCGTCGCTTGTGACAGCGGCGACGGCAATGCCAATGACGGCGCCGATGCTGATCGCGCTGGAAACGATGACGGCGCCCTCGCGTCGATGATTCAGTTTTTGGAAGGACTTCGACATGCGCGTGCGGCCGACGCGCAAAAGTGGCCCGCATTGTATAATTTGACACGGATCGTGCTACCCCCAGCACGCGCTCAACGGCGTCCGAATGTTCTCGGCGCGCAGCGCGAGGGGCCCGTTTGGTTGAAATTACGGATGATGTTGAACAACCCACGGTTTCTTGAGAATTCGCAGGAGCACAACGCAAACATTTATGACATCATATATATATGTGTATATATATATGCAGATGTATATGATGTTATCCGGGTGCTCGGTTTTGTAATCCTTGCGAAACCGTTGGTTTTTGGTCGCAGATTTCGGCATGCATGCGCGACGGCGCGCGCGTGCCCTTCGTCCCGTTTTCTTGCAAGGGGTTCTTGCGACAGCACGCGCGCAAGGGCGTTCGAGCGATCCCGACATGCGCGCGCGAGAGGCCCGCTTGCTAGCAAGGTGTGAACATGTGAGAAACACCGACGGTTCTCTTTAAGACTGAACAAGAGCCCGAGCGCAAGTTTTCACGACATCCTAAATGTGTTGTCTCATTTTTTCTGAGAAAATCTGAATGCGCGCGGCGACGCGCGCATGTTCCCTTCGTTCCGTTTTGCAAGGGGTTCTTGCGACAGCACGCGCGCAAGGGAGTTCGAGCGATCCCGACCTGCGCGCACGAGGGGCCCGCTTGGTAGCAAGTTATATACATGTTGAACGCCTGATGGTCTTTCCAAGCCTTGGCAGGAGCCCGAACGCAAGTATGATTTGAACATTCTTGCTGCGAAACGATGTCTTTTTGTATGTGTTCAGTACATTCGATTTTGAAACCTTTACGAGGCCCATGGTGTTTGAAGGATTTTCGGCATGCGCGCGCGACGACGACACGCGCGTGTGCTCTTCGCATTTCTTGCAAGGACTATTGAAACTTATGGTTCTTGACAAGCGAATGCGTGCTTATCATACTTGTTGTGAACGATGTGGGGGGGGCGATACTGGCCTGCCTGGGATTGTATGGATTCAGATTTGGGATGGACGATGGGGGCAGAGTCATATTTAAAGTGCGGTGCGAAAAGGGGGCTCGTTAAGTCCAAGGGGGGGTCGATCCTAATACCCTTTGAGGAAGGAGTATTTATGTGGTGCGCAAGTAATGTGGTGCAGTTGACGCGGCGCAATCTGTATGGTGCAATCTATGCGATAAGTGTAGCGCACTCTGTATGATGCAATGGACGTGGTACAATCTATGTCATGCAATATGTTGTGTGCAATCTATGCGGTGCCATCTATGCGGAGAATTCTACGTCGTGCAATTTACGAAACGACGGGGCTGCGACGAAGTGTCGACATCGCCGCCACACCGGCAAACAGGCCCAGACGACGGGCCAGGACGAGGCGGCAACGGGGCGGCAACGGCGGCAACATAGCCGCCAGAGAGGCAGACAGGCCCAAACTACGGGCGGCGATGAGGCGGCGATGGGCTGGGGACGGCGGCAACATAGCCAGCCGAGAGGCAGACATGACCAGCATCTTAGAACAGAAGTAACAACCCCTAAGTGCAAGCACCGTTTGGGAAACATCCAGTGCACCACATAGATCGCATGACATATATTGCATACCAAAGATGTCACTATATATATATATATATTGCACCGCAGATCTTGCACCATTCCTCCAAACATACTTCGCAACATAGATTGCTTGACGCACACTGTGTCGGGCCCACCCTGGCCAGCATCTTTTGTCCTTGACAGATTTCAAGCGTCGAACGCTCGAAGACGGCACAAGAAACCTCCAAGATCACCGCAAGACGGCCCAAGAGGCCGCCAAATAGGCACGAGGAGGGCGCCAAGACTGCCCAAGACACCCCCAAGAAGGCCCAAGATGGCCTCTAAGAGATTGCCACAAACACGAACTGACATTTGAGCCCTCCGCCGCAAGATGACCCCCGAGACCGCCAGCAGGCCCCCGAGAGGCCCCCAAGACGCCATGGGAGGCCCAAAAGAGGTCCAACGATGCCCAAAGACACCCCCACACCGCATCAACAAGGCCTCCACGGGGCCTCTCTCGATATCTCCAAAAGCATCCAACAGGCCTCTGACCAGCAATCCAAGCACAGTGACGGGTTCGGCCAGAGGCAACTAGATATTACAAGAGGCTTTCAACGCGGGGCTCTCGCCGTAGCACCGCGCACATGTGTCTTTAAAGCTTGAAGCTGTTGTAAAAATGGAGGACAATCCCTTTTTCAAAAGGGGCTATCGCCTTAGCGCCAGGCACGCTCGTCACAAAAGCCTGGGCAACCACAGCGTTGGTGGACGGCTCCTTTTCACAATGAGGTTCTCGCAGGGGATACCCTCAAACTTCAGCACCATAAGCTTCAACCTGTGTAGCAGCAGCACGGACGGATGGCATCTCCTTTTCCAAACAGGGCCCGCGTGAAACTTCCACGAATGACATGGACGGACGTGCAACTCTGTGCAATAGTTACACGGCTGCCATGCGCTTCTTCTTCAAAGCGGGGACCTCGCTTGACAACTGGATGAGCTGCATGCTTGTGCCTTCTCGCATTCCTGATTTTGCGCTCGGAGGATGCAAGGCCAATCATGTTCAAAGCGGGCTCTCGCCTGGATGGCAGGCAGGTGGGGTGCTGGTCTTCCAATTGGGGGCGCTTTATGCGATAAGATTGAGGGCTCGTTAAGGGCCTATGGGGATGGGGCCTTCGGACGGGAGGGTGTATTGCAGTATCGTTGATGCATCTTGGGTTTACTCTGGCTCTTCTCCTCCCCCTGCTCTTTATTCTTCTCCGACCGTACAGTAAGTCGAGACGCGCCCCGAAAGCCTCCCGAGATGGCCCAAGAGGGCCGGGCCCCAGGACCCCGAAGAGGGCTCCGAGATGCCCAAACCATTGGCGTTCATGATGTCTTTGGCAAGTTTGAATGTTTTCGCCCGTTCGGGCTCCCGATGCTCCAAGGCGGCCGCACATGGACCTCAAGATCGCCCCAGGAGGTCCCCAGAAGGATCCCAAGACGGCCAAGAGGGGTCAGGAGGGGCTCCACAACGGCCAAGGATACCCCCACCAAACGTCCCACAATAAGCCCAAAAGGGAAAACGCGAAAGGGCCTTGAAAGCCTTTCTCCCGCAGATCGCCCCCCCGACCCCCCAAACCCCCCAAGAGCCCCCCGTCAGCGTCCAAGGGACTTTGAAGATGCCTCCCAAAAGCACCCCCAAAGGCCGCTCAATAGGCCCTCGGGAAGCATGCCGAACGACCCAAGCACGCATCCAAAAGGCCTCTGGATCACAACCCAGGCAGAAGTGGCGGGATGAACTGACGGCCACTAGATCCGCCGCCCCTCTGGCCTGCCACAGGAGTGCTTGGCTTGCCAAGCGCTTACCCAATGGTTTCTACCATGGCTGGGGGGACGCACCGCTCAATAACCTGGTCAGGCTTTGGCCCAACGTTGGCAACGCAGGCGCTTCCAAGAAGTAGGGGGAGGCGGTGGCTCGCCGTATGCGTCTTCGATGTATGTCCTTGCCTGCCTCCTCCTCCCTCCTCTTTATCTGCTGTCCACCATGCGGGGCCTTTTCAGGGCGGCGTTGCCCTCCAGGGCCTCCCCCAAGGCGGCGGCGCCCTTGTCCCCTATGGCATTCTGGCTCAGGTCCAGTTCCCTGGCGAAAGAGGAGGCCACGAGGGTGGAGGAGCAGGAGGATGAGGACCATTTCTAAATCTGAGCCCTGATGACCAGGTCCTGGCGGTGGAAGTAACAGACGCACAAACGAAACTCTCTGATGACAGCCAGGCCGATTCGTTGCCTCGGACACTGGTGGGTTGGGAGGAACAGGTGAAGGGGGACGAGGAGGACGAGGGACACCAAGAGCAACACAGGGGGCGTGGCAGGGGGATTCATCGGAGAAGGAAGTTGAGGATCAAGGTGGAAAGGAGGAAGGGGAGGAGGAAGGCAGAGGAGGATGAGGAGGAACGGGGGTGGCCGTAGGGATGATGATGATGATGATGATGATGATGATGATGCTGATGCTGATGCTGATGCTGATGCTGATGTTGATGCAGCTGATGATGTTGATGATTGTGGTGGTGATGATGACACTAATTGTGATGATGCTGCTGATGATGAATTTGATGATGCTACTGATGATGGTGGTGGTGGTGATTGTGTTGATGATGATAGTGATGACGATGATGATGACGATGATGATACTGATGATGATGATGCTGATGCTGATGCTGATGATGATGCTGATGCTGATGCTGATGCTGATGATGATGCTGATGATGATGATGATGATGGCAATGACGATGGTGACGAGGCAACGTAGGAATCTGAGGCACGAAGAGGCGGACAAGGAACCTGACGAGCGCACCAACAGGCGTATAAGGGTGGAGCATTGGGGAACCGATTCTACACACATATCTATTTAGTACGTGTGCGCATACACGTGTGTGCACAACATAATGAACATGGTGCAGTCGTGAGCATGGGAAGGTGCCACAACGGAGTTTGACGGACGCGGGGAAGCGCACGCCAGGGATTTGACCATGGGAACGCAGCAGCGAAACATACGAGAACAAGGGGTACAAAAGAATGCAAACATCAGAGCCCTGCGAGCTGGCATTGGAGGAGAAAGGGCGAAGGGCAGGAGGAGGAGGCCGGTGGAGGAGAGGGAGAGGAAAGGGATTAGGAGAAGGAAAGAGAGGTAGAGGAGAGGGGGGGCAGAAAGAGAGAAAGAGAGAGAACAAACAAAAAAGGAGGGAGGATGAGGAGAAGAGGAAAGAGGTGGGAGGAGGAGGAGGAGGAGGAGGAGGAGGAGGAGGAGGAGGAGGAGGAGGAGGAGGGAGGAAGAGGGAGGATGAAGCGACATCAAAACCATCATCCACCCAGGAAGGCAATGCCGACCTAGGGGTCCGTCTGTGGAAAGGCCGGCGGGCGGCTAACTGTCGCTGGTACCGCGGCTGCCCTCACGTCGCCGCGCACGCGCGCGCTCCCCCTACCCGACCACGAGCCTCGCCATTTTGAAACAGAGAACGCATGCACGCGGTTGGGCGGGGGAGGGGCGGTGGGGGGCGGGCGACGACGGCGACGGGGGGGAACGGAAACTACGCGCCTATCGTCGCTCCCGTCTTGGGATGACGGCCGCGCTCTGTTCTCAGCACGAGCGAAGAGGCCTCCAACGAAGAGTGCGTGGGTGAGCAGGGAGTAGTGGCCCCCCGTGTGTTCGGTGAGCCACACCATTCAGTGCCCTTCGAGCCGCCCATGTGCGCAAGAAACCCGCGGTGTTTCCAAGGCGTATCCCCTTGATGGGGATATGCTGAATTGAAGAACCGAAATTCGTACACCGATGCTTATCTCCGGCCCCGCACTGAGATTCGCTCTAGAAAACGGATTATGGTGTATACGGCATCCTGGTGTATATACATTTTACGCTGTTTCCCTTGGAACAATGTACACTACACCACCCCGACGTCGTCCCCGACCCTCAAAAAAGTCGTGGGATTGAGCAACCGCCCGCCACTGGTACTGTACATGTTCCAGTTTCCGATTAATATCGAAGGGTACGTTGGTGAGAAGCGAGCGGTGGTCCCCCGTGTGTTCGGTGAGCGTGCGAGCGCCCCCCATGGTCCATCCATCGAATCACAACAATACCCACCAAACCGACGTGGGTCCTCAAACTTGTTGCCGTGTGGGGTTCTTGCCTGCAATTTTGCTGAGCACAGTCCAGGCCCGCTGAGCCTTCGCTGAGCTGAACCGTCCATCCCACATCCAGGCACAGTGCCGCAAGTGGCCTCGCAAATAGGGTGGTCGTATGGTCCCTTGTTTGCTGGTCCCTTGTTTGCTACTAGGCAGGCCGTGACCGCTCCATGTTTTCTACACCCAGAGAGCACTGGCGCGAATTGACAAACGTATCCGAAGCCGACTTCTGAAACCCCAGGGACGCTGGTGCCGTGCCCCGCTGCCGGCAGCGCGCCTGTGCGCCAAAGTCGGGTGCAGCGTCTGCCAGTGGCGCCCGTGAGGGCCAAAAGCAAGAGGAAAACAATGAGGTATGATATGGTATATACAGGCGAGCTCAGGCCTCAATCAAAACTCGAGCTCCGATTCGCGATTGGTCTCACTTCAATCGTCGCTCGCTGAACGCTCGAGGGCCAGGCGAAGGAAGAGGATGAGGAGATGGAAGAGGGAGGATGAGGGAGGAGGGTGGGATGAGGGAGACAGGGAGGGAGGGAGGGAGCAGGCCCAAATTAACCCGAAATGCGCCAGCAATGATACAATACACCCTCCCGTCCCGAGTCCCCGCCTTTGCATTTCCTACAGCCCTTCCTATTTGCTACAAGGAAGATGTTCCCCCCTTGAACCCTTGAAACAAAGGAGCTGCCTGGCAATTTCCTGTGCTTGATCGGGAATGCAACAGGGAGGATGGAGGAATAGAAGGGAGGAGGAGGGGAGATAGCGTAGGAGGAGGGAGGGAGGGATTAGGAGAAGGAGGAGGAATCTTCATATCCAGACGATACAACAAAGTCGCGACGGACGTTTACTCGTCGCGCTCGGCTTGCAGATGCCCTTTCCCAACCCCAACAAGGACCTCCAAACCAACTCGGGCTGAACATCCGGTCCCGGGGAAGCGGTGGAGGTTTGCGGGGAGGGCGACGTCACGAACAAAAATCCAACATCAGAGGTGAGGGAATATGGTGGAGGGAGCGAGGGGAGGAGGAGGGGGGCGGTGGGGAAAGGAGGAGGAGGAAGAGGAGGAGTAGGAGGAGGAAGGCGGGGAAGGAGAAGGAAGGACGCGGGGATATCGACTGGGGAAAAGGAGGACGGCGGGGATGGGGGATGGATCGGACTCCCGGGAGTGCTGGCACGATGCCTCACCAGGCGCCGAAAGCAGCCGCCAGCACTCACGGGGCCTTTTCGTTCTCCTCGTCCTCCTTCGGTGCTCGCTCGTCCTCCCTTGCTCGCTCGTCCTCCCTTCCCTCATCATCGCCTCCGCCGCGGCTCGCCTTGCCCACCGCTGGTACTCTGAGCCTGGCGCATGCGCTCTATGCCCTTCTGCGACGGGATCTTTTCAAGGGGTCCACAGCTGATTCATCTTCTTGAACTCCTATGCGCAATATCATGTTACTGCGAATATCATCCCATACTTCGATATTTAAGTCACACGATCGCCCTCTTAAATCACTATCGCCATCATCATCGTCATTCCTCCTGGGGCTGGGTTGGACATTCGGGAAGCCGAAGAGTCGGAATCCCTCAACAAACATTGAACACCAAAAGAGAATCAATGATTGTTGCTTCTTCTGGCGGCGGTGGGGGCCGTCAGGGAACCCGCTTGGAGAGTCTGGGGCGCGGTTTGGGCCGTCTGGGAGAATTCGTGAGACCACGGCGGGCATCTGGAACTGATTTTCCTGCGGCTGGGGCGCGACTCGGTGCTTGGCGGCGCACACAAGGGGGTAGGGGGAGGGAGACGGCTTCTTAGAAGGAGGCTGCGTCTTAGGAGGCTGCTTCTTAGAAGGCTGCTTCTTATCGAGAAGGCCCGCGCCTTCTAAGAAGCAGGGTGCTTCTCAGAAGCCTTCAACCCTCCCCCTGACCCCCCTCTGCGCGTGGCCGAGCTGTCTTGGAAATATCTTGAAACGGCTGTGGGGCCTCTTGGATGCTCTGGGCGCCCGTGGGTGGCCCCTGACACCGTCTTGAAGCGGGCGGTGGTGCTTCCGGGGCTAGTTTGGAGTACTGGCAAGCCGACAGGCGGAAGCCCCCCAAACCACCAGCAACTGTGGACAACACATGAGCACTTTGCCTCTCAGGGCCTCCTTGGGGGCCGTCTGGGAACCCTCTTGGAGGGTCTGGGAAGCGTTAGGGCTGTCTGGAAGCCTTCGTGGAGCGCCTTGGCAGCGTGGTGGGCCATTTGGGGACAACCACGAACATGTGGGAGCGATTTCCCAGCGACTCGGAAGCGACTCGGGGCTCTCGGAGCGCCTCTGGAGCACCTCTGGGCCCCCGAGTCCCGCCATGCGCTGTCGTGGCCCCCAGCCAGGAGCGCCCAGGCCTCGTAGACGGGAATATCTCTCTCTCTCTATATATATATATACACATATGTGTGTATATGCATACATGCATGCATGCATGTATGTATGTATGCATGCATGTATGTATGAATGTACGAACGTGTGTATGTATGTATGCATGCACGCATGCATGTATGTCTGTCTGTCTGTCTGTCTGTCTGTCTGTCTGTCTGTCTGTCTGTCTGTCTGTCTGTTTGTCTGTCTGTCTGTATGTATGTATGTATGTATGTATGTATGTATGTATGTATGTGTGTGTATGTGTGTAGATGTGTATGTATGTGTGCAGATGCATGCATTCATGCATGCATGCATGCATGCACGCACGCACGTATGTATGTATGTATGCGTGTATGTATGTATGTATGGATGCATATATGCATGCATGTACGTATGTATGCATGCGTGTAGGTATAAATGTATGAATGTGTGTATGCATGTATGCATGCATGTACATATATATATATATATATATATATATGTAGGTGTGTGTATGCCTGCACGCAAACATGTATACATGCATGCATGTGTGTATGCTAGTACGTGTGTACGTGTGCATGAGAGTATATATGTATGTATGCATGTTTGCATGCAAGTATGTATGCATGCAGGTATGCATGAACTTGTAGTGCATGCAATGCATGTGATGCATGTCTCTGTGTATGTATGTATGCATGCATGTGTGTGTGAGTATGTATGTATGTGTGTATGTGTGTATGTATGTATGTACGTATGTACGTATGTATAGTTGTATGCATGTATATGGGTATATGTATATATATATATATATAGATAGGCATGTATGTATGCATGTATGTATGTTTGTGTGTATGTATGTATGCATGGACACATGTATGCATGTAATATGTACGTGCGTAGCGCCCCGCAGATGCGGATACACGTGAGGGGGCGGTGGGGACGTCGGCACTGAACGACACTCAGGAGAAGCCCGCCGCAGGTGCCACCGTTTCACAAATTATGCAACGAGCCCGCCGCAGGCTCCGATTTATTCCTTAAACCAATGTGGGTACGTGGCGGGTGGGTCGCAAATGGGCCGCGGGTGGGTCGCTGTTGGGTCGCAAGTGGGTCGGGCAGAATATCCACCCCTTAATAATCGCCCCGACAAGCGAAGCCGTTAGTAAACGCACACAAGGAATGCATCGAACAAGGCAGAGCTGTTGAGTAAACGCCCAAGGCCGTTTAGGTAAACGTCAATTGTCGGGTCCGGGTGGTTTCTCCTCCCTTGAAGGCGGGTCGCGGGGTGGGTCGCGGGGTGGGTCGCGGGTGGGTCGCGGATGGGTCGCGGGTGGGTCGCGGGGTGGGTCGCGGGTGGGTCGCGGGGTGGGTCGCGGGTGGGTCGCGGGTGGGTCGCGGGTGGGATGACGACAACAAACAACAACAACAATAACAACAATAACAACAACGCAACAAGCAGACATCTCACCACACATTCCCCATTCAGCCACGCACCCAGGGACAATGAATGACCCTTCGGCTTCCTCACTCTGATGTACGTATGTCTGCATGTATGCATGTATGTGTGTATGTATGCCTGCCTGCCTGCCTGCCTGCCTGCCTGCCTGTAGGTAGGTAGGTAGGTAGGTAGGTAGGTAGGTATTTTGGTACGCATGCATGCATGTATGCATGGGTGTCTGTCTGTCTGTCTGTCTCTGTCTGTCTGTATATGTGTATGTGTGTATGTATGTATGCATGTCTAAATAGAGAGCGCTGTGTGAATATCTGGCACCGTGCCTCGAGGCACGAAGTGAAATTACATCCAGGCTCTCATGTGCCCTGGGTTTTCTGTGCTCGGGACTCTGGGGTTACGGGATCAAAATTCTCAACATTCCTCGGCGTTCTGGCGCGTTCTCGGGCTGCCCGCATGACTTTTCCAGAGGCCAGAGGGCCCTACGACAAGCCAAGAGGGTCTCAGTTAGCGCCCAAGCGGGTCCACGAGACCTCCAAGACAGCTCAATAGCGCTCCACGACGCGCAAACTGGCCCCAAGACTGCCCACGATGCCCCAAAGAAGCCCCACGAGCGCTCCAAGAGGACCCCCCAAAAGGGCCCAAAGAGGCAGCACTCATTGACGTTCATTGCGGTGTTCGATGTGTTTCGCGTTCTCGCGTTTTCGGGCTTTCGACGCTCCAAGGTGGTCCCAGAGGCCTCCAAGACCGCCCCAAGACGGCCCACGAGGCCTCCACGAACGCCCCAAAACCGCCCACAACTGCCCAAGAGGCGCCCAAGATCGCCCAACAGAACCCCAAGACGCCCCAGAGAAGGGCCTATGAGGGGGAACACGAACCGACACTTCGAGCCTTCCACCCAAAGGTAGACCCCCAGAAAGTCCCCCAAAAACCCCCAAGACAGCCAAGAGCCCCCATGGGGCCCCCACGAGGCCCCCAAGATGCCCAAACGGATGCCCCAAGAGGCCCCAAACGGCCCCCAACGGCCCCCAAGAGGCGTCACAAATGCCTCCAAGAGGCCCCCGAGAGGTCTCCCACGCGATCCCAACGATCATCCAAGGGGCCTCTAACCCGCAACCCAAGCACGGTGTCGGGATGGGCCGAAGGCCACCATACACACATACAGACATACATGCATAGACATACCTACATACATACATACATACATACATACATGCATACATACATACGTACGTACATGCATGCATACATACATACAGACAGACACGCATGCATTCATACATGCACACATACACGCATGCATACACACATACAAACATACGTACACGCATACGTACATACATGCATACATACATACATACATACATGCATGCATGCATACATACATGACTGCACACATACATACATGTATGCATGTAAAAATACGTACGTACGTACATCCATACACATACATACATACATACATCCATCCATACATACATATATACATACATATACACGCATGTATACATACATACATACACACATACGTACATACAAACACGGACACATACATACATACATACATACGTACATATATACAGACACACATACGTATCGCCATGCATGACTGTATGCATATGTTCACACACATGTCTATGTACATGTACGCATGGTACAGACATACATATTTACATACATACATACATACATACATACACACATACATGTATACACACCTATACATACATATATCCATACACACATGCATACATACACACATACCGGCATACATACATACATACATACATACATACATACGTACATACATACATACATACATACATACATACATACACACATACACACAGACATACATACATACATACATACATCTATACATACGTACATACGTACGTACATACGTACATACATACATACATACATACATACATACATACATACACACACATACATACACACAATCACACATACATACGTACATACATACATGCATACATACGTACATGCATGCATGCATGCATACATTCATACATACCTGCATACAAGCATACATAATTATACGTGTAAGCGTCTGCCAATGCGCATCGGAGAAATGTGCACAGGCGTTCTCCCGGAGCCCTCCTCCTCCTCCTCCTCCTCCTCCTCCTTCTCCTCCCACTTTTCCTCCTTTTCCTCCTTCTCCTCCTCCTCCTCCTCCTCCGCCCCTTTGCCCCTGTGGGGTTCGCCATGTGGCGACAGCCCCCCGTGCCTAGCAGTGCACCTACCCCCTGCCAGCGCCGCCGCCAGCACCGCCGCCCCGTCGTCGCAGATTGCGTTGCCGCGGAGGGACAGCTTCTTCAGGGAGGGGCAGCCCCTGGCGACGGGGGCGAGGGGTAGGAGGAGCAGGGAGCAGGACGATGCGGAGGGCGAGGAACAGTGACCCAGCCACGCGCGAGGAGGAGAAGAAGGAGGAGGAGGAGGAGGAGGAGGAGGGGGAGGAAGAGCGTCAAGGGAGGTTTTCTCCCGCTGGATTCCCTCCTTTGAAGGCGCGGGTGAGGAGGAGGAGGAGGAGGAGAAGCGGGAGGAGGAGGCAGAGGAGGAGGGGAGGGGCAGCCGCTGGCGACGGGGCGGGAGGCCTTCTCGGAGGCCTTCTCGGAGGCCACCAGCGTTCCTCCTTATCCTCCCCCCTGCCCTTCATCTTTCTCCTCCTCCTCCTCCTCCCTCCTTCGTCTCCTCCTCCTGCTCCTTCTTCCTCCTCGCTCTTCCAACTCCCTCCTCCTCTTCCTTCCCTCTTCCACCGTCCTCTGGCTCCCTCTCTCTCTCTCTCTCCTCCTCGCCCCTCCTCTTCCTCCTTCTCCTCTTCTTGATCCCTCTACCCCCTCCGCCTCCTCCTCCTCCTCCTCCTCCTCCTCCTATTCCTCCTCCTCCTCCTCCTCCTTCCTCCTCTTCGCCCCTCCTCTTCTCCTCCTCCTCCTCCTCCTCCTCCTCCTCCTCCTCGTTCTCGTCCTCCACTTCCTCCTCCTCCTCCTACTCCCTGCTCCTCCTCCTCCTACTCCCTGCTCCTCCTCCTCCAACTCATCGTCGCTCCTAGCTCTTCCTCCTTTCCTCATCCCTCCTCCTCCTCCTCGTCATCCCTCGTCATCATCTATCTTCCTCCAGGGCTTTGCGCAAGTTCCCGGAGCCGTTCCAGCCTCGCGACGCCGTCCAGCAGCTGCGCCTCGCCGAGGGCGTTCCGTTGGTGCCCGCACCACTCCGAACGGCCGCGGGAGGCCTGAGGCATAACCCGAAACCTTTTGGAGTCCCGAAACGGTGCGGTGACACACCGTGCGGTGACCTCGAAATCCCCCAAGACCTCACCGCACGGTCCGTCACCGCACGGTTTTGGGACCCTGGAGGCCCCTGTCGCCCGAGACGTCCACGGAGAATGAGCCGAGTCCCAAAACCGTGCGGTGACCCCGGATCTGAGGTCACCACACCGTTTGGGGCCCCCCGAAACCTGCATCGCGGACGATGGAGTTGGGCCTTCGTATTGAATCCGTAGCGCCCTGCGTCCCTCACTCCCGCTTCCTCCTCTTCCTCCTCCTCTCCCTCTTCCTCCTCCTCATCCTCCTCCTCCTCCTCTTCCCACCTCCCTCCTCATCGCGATCGCCATCGTCAATATCATTTTCGTCATTCGTGATCGCAACACCAACATCAACATGATGACCATCATCCACGTTATCAACATTCTCGTCTCGCCCCCATCCGTATCATCCCTACAATCACCAACATCAGGACCAGCATCACAGTCGTCAGCATCACCATCGACAGCACCATCGTCACAACCATCATTATTACCACAACCATCAGCACCATCCCCAGCATCGCAATAATTCGCAATCATCATCATCATCAGCATCATCATCTGAACCATCCTTATCATTCTCATCATCACCAGCACCATCAGCATCATCATCACCATCATCATCATCATGCTCATAGCAGGATCATCCTCATCATCATCATCACCATCATCACCATCATCAAAGCCTCTGTGTGTTGGGGCCTCTGGCCTGTGAGGTGTTGCACTGCTGGCGCTGAGTTCTGCTTATTCAGCTCGGCGGCCCGCGGGTTTGCAGGCTGTGGGCGGGTTTCGAGCGAAAGCTGTCGCGAGCCTGGTTCACCAATCTGTCTGGCGCGTTGCACCCTTCCATATTTCGTTTTCAATTCAGCTTTCGGGCCTGGCCCAGGGGAGTACGTCTTCCAACGCTCGGGATCGGGCCCGATACCGTCGGCAATGCAACAGTCCACTTTGGCCAGGTACAAGGTGTGCTGCTGGCGGTGAGGTTTTGTCCCGCCCACGGCTTGCACGGTGCGCTCAGCCTGCCACTCCGCCAGTTCTCGAGGATCCTGAACCAAGGCTGTTGGCTTGCCTACACTCGGGATCGGGCTCCGATACCTGCGGCAATGCAATCAGTCCAGTTTGGCCAGGGGCCTTTGGGACGAGTTGCGCTGCTGCAGGTGAGGTGTGGTGCCGCCTGCTCGCTCGCGGCGTTAGCGGCCCGCGCTGGTCTGTGCGGAAGCTGAACCAGGCGTGTAGGCCTCCTACACTTGGGATCGGGCTCCGATGCCAGCGGCTTGCAACATGTCCGGTTTGGGCCCCGCCTTAGGGACTAGTTGCGAGCTGGTGGAGAGGTGCTGCCCCATTGTGCGCACGGCATTGCACGGTGCGAATCGCCGAGCAAGCCTCTCGAGCATGCTCGCCAATGCTTTTTCTGCTCGGCGGCCCGCGTTCTGCTCGGCGGCCCGCGTTCTGCAGGATCTGGGCGAGTTCGAGCGGAAGCCGTCTCGAGCCTGGCTCGTTGTCTGTCTGGCGCGTGGCGCCCTTCCATGTTTCGTTCCGAACGGAGCCGCACCAGGGGTGACGGCTTGCCCTCACTCGGGATCGGGCTCCGACGCCATTGGCAATGCTACCAGTCCTGTCGTTGCCTTGTGCTGTAGGACAAGTTGCGCTGCTGATGGGGAGCTGCAGACACGCGCTTTCCTCTTCTCTGCGTGCTTGCACGCCGTCCGCTCAATGTAGCTTGGCGCGCTCGGCGCGCCTTGGCCCTGGACGCCTGTCTCGACGTGGAGGGCGACCCGAGAGCGCAGGGCTTCCCACGCTCTGGTTCGTTCTCCGCAGGCCTGAGGAACAACCGCGTCGTGGGTGCGTTCGCGGGGACACAGTTGCTTCTCAGGTGCGGTGTGCCGTCAGTCTGCGAACCAGCGCCTGTTCGGCAGCTGAAGCCTGTGCTTGCTGCCGTGCGCGCTGAGTCACTCTACTGCCTGGATCTGCCTATCGCCTGCTTCGGCCGAGGCGGTTGCCAGCTCGGGGCACCCGGGGGAATCTGCGTTGTGCGCCGAGGCGCACGTGCCCGAGCGTTGCCGGGGCAGGGCCAGAGGGAACCACCTCGGGCCGAGGGGCAGTGCGAGCAGGGAGCTCCTGTCCCTTTCAGCCGCGTGGATCATCATCATCAGCATCAGCATCAGCATCAGCATCAACAATATCAACAGTATCATCATCATCATCATCATCATCATCATCATCATCATCATCATCATCATCACAATCACTATCATCACACTCACCACCATCCTCATCATCACCATCGTCATCATCATCACCATTACCATCACAAACACCATCATCATTACCATCATCATCATGAACAGCACCATCGCCATGATCATCATCAGCATCATCATCATCATCATCATCATCATCATTATCATCATCATCATCATCACCATAATCAGCATCAGCATCATCCTCATCCTCATCCCAATCATCATCCTTCTCATCCTCATCCTCCTTCTCCTCCTCGTCCTCCTCCTCATCATCTTCAACACCATCGCCATCATCATCATCATCATCATCATCATCATCATCATCATCATCATCATCATCATCATCACCATCACCATCACCATCACCATCACCATCATCATCATCGTCATCATCATCATCATCATCATCATCATCATCATCGTCATCATCATCATCATCATCATCATCATCATCATCATCATCATCATCATCATCATCATCATCTTCATCATCATCATCATCATCATCATCAACATCATCAGCATCAACATCAGCATCATCATCGTCATCAACGTCAACAAAACCAACATCATCACCATCACCACCACAATCACCATTCAACACTATCGCCGTCCTCACACCTCTTACGCTTCGCGACCGCATAGGGGGCTCCCCCGAAGACCCCACTTGGGAGGGCCCGCATGCCACCGCCGCACCCAGTTCGGCACACACCTCAAGCGTTTCGCAGCCGCATAGGGAGACCCATCGAAGGCCCCAATGGGAGGAACTGCATGCCACCGACGAGCTCATTTCGACACACCCCTCACAGTTTTCGCGGCCCTGTAGGGAGCTCCATAGAAGACCCCGCTGGGAGGGCCCGCATGCTACCGCCGCGCGAATTTCGGCACACCCCTCGCACGTTTCGCCCGAAGGCTCCAATGGCGGTGACCGCCCGAACTCCCGCCTCTCGTTCGTCGTCGTCGTCGTGGCCCCACAGGGAGCTCCACCGAAAGCCCCGGTGGCAGGCATCGCACGCGGTGCCCGCCTCCGTGTCGGCACACCCCTCACGCGTTGCTGGCCCCACGTGGAGCCCCCCTCCCTTCTTCCCACCAGCCTTGCGACCCTCACGCCTGCGTACGGCTTGGTCCCGCGCCGAGACAATTCTCGATGTCGGCTCCTCGGGGGAGTTTTTTCGGGCCCTGGGGATCCGCAAAATGGGCCGGGGACGGAAAACAGCCCCCTAGGAGAAGTGGTCCAGATCTCTGGGGGGGGGGTCGCGCACTGCACAAAACACATCGCTGGACGTCTGGGAAGGAACGGTGATCAAGATGGCGGAAAGAGGGTTTGCAATATCAGAACGGAGGAAACGTATTTCGCGGTTTCCTGCCCCACGTGGGCCTTCACACTCGCCCCGTTTTGGAATCCGCTCTGGCTTCTGACCGCCCCGAGGCTGGAAGCGCGCTTGTCGGCACTTGCGCATTGTTCAACGATGCTGGGGAGGCCCCGCCCCCATGGCCTGAGTGACCTGGCGAGCTGCGGGATCGCGGCGTCGGAGATGCCGTTCAGGTCCAAGCGGACCTCCTCCTGGAGAACCCTCTCCTCCTCCCTCCCCTTCCTGCTCCTCCTGCTCCTCCTCCTCCTCTTCCTCCTCCTCCTGCTCCTCCTCCTCTCCACAAGGCTGGCGGCCTTTGTACTCGAGGAGGTGCAGCCGTCGACCCCCCACCCCACCCCACCACCCGTACGTACCATCGAGGTGGGCTTAGGTTGTGCCTGTCCCTCATACTTTGGTTAACGCGAATACTATAGAAAGCCATATCGTCCAATAGATTTCTAAAGGGTCGTATCAACATATAGCATGGAATCGTGGAGCATAGTGAACACATGTGAAAATGTGAAATATACAGAACAAATGAAAATAGTAAAACTAATGAACAATGACGAAACATAATGAAAAATTGTAAGAATAATGAAAATAATGAAAAATGAAAATATGAAAAATGTTGAAACTATTGAAAAATAGTTACGAGAAAGAGAGGGTGGGAAGAGAGAAGAGGAGAAAGAGGAGACGAAACAAGAGGAGGAGATAGCCTGGCAAAGCGGTCGCGCCGCTTCCGACAATGATAGCGACGATGGTGATCGCGGTGGCGATGTTGTTTTTTTCAAGCTTCGCGCTGGCCCTGCAATGACATCAACGCTCTAAACCAGCAGTTCGGACGACGCGTCGCAACCGGTACATGTGCCATATCAACAAATAGGAACGCTCCAGGACCCTCCTCTGTCTACAGCGCCTGCGGCTTGTAACTTTCGCAACGCGTGGGCCGAGGGGCGCCGTCCTTTCGCCGGCGAGAGGCGCTGGGGGGTACCTGACAAACAAACTGCAACATGTGGGCAATCAACACCACGGTGCCGCCTTCTTCAGCCCCACCGATGATAAAATTACGCCCGCCACAAAGTGAATTATATCTCCAGCTTTGACGCAAGATCCTCCAATAACGACCATCGTCGAAATGCTCAAAACTTCGTTGTACCTGGCGCTATTCACCAAGCCATTTCCAAATGGCAACAGTTTCTTTTTTTGCATTGCAGCAGCAAAGAGCAAAACACATCGTATCAAAAGTGATTTCTCAAAGATGCGGGTGCTGTCGATGTTATCAGCGACAGCCCATGGATTTTTGTGGTATCGCTCGGTTGCCAGCGTAGCGTGTCCAGGGCGAAGCCATCCCTCACAACCTGCCGCGGCAAGTGTCGGCAGAAATTGAATTTGGGGATGTGCATGCCGCAATCCCCGCGCGCGCGTTCGAACAGTAGGGCGTGGTCGCGCAAAGCCTCAGCCCAATCATCTGCCTGAGCAGGGCCTCTCTTTGGCCCTATATATAACGAAACACTTTGGGCCAGCGCTATAAAAGACGCCATTTCCTTTGCAAAGTCTGCTTTGAACTGCGCGCTTCCATCGGTGAGTACATCCAGGGCATATCGAATTAGCGGCAGGACCGATATTCTATCACTCGCCTTAGCGGTATGTTTTGCTCTTGCGCAAATGCTTCTGTCGCTCATCGCTGAAAAGTCTGTTTGCGCCACGCGGCCCACGTGCCGAGCAGGTCTTCCACTGCGCGTTGGCGACGTCCCTGAACCGGTCCAAAGTCAGGCCGACGGCAGCAAGGCGGCGCAGCAATTCGCTCAGTTCAATCTGCGCGATCCCATTTATGATCATGCAGTGCGCTGGATCGTGCGCGCGCATGTCCAGCGACACGTGCTGGCGAAGTTCAGTGTCCAATAGCAAGCCATCTGGCGCGTGATTAATGCCGTGCATCTTGCATTGCTCATCGAATGCGCCCGTGGGCAAAGTTTCCTTCGAACGCTGCAGTAGATCAGCGCTGAGCCACAAATCGTCTGCGCTGCGCGCGTCGAACCGATTCGGGTCAGCGCGAGAAATGGGTACCAATGTTCCCGTCGCGTCGAACGCTGAGAGCAGGGTCTCCGTTGAATCGTATATGCCGCGGACATTCTTGCACAGCGCGCGTGGAACAACGCCAGCCGCACCCATTAAACAATATGCATTGTTAACGCCATCTTCGTCATGCAGTAGGTTCAACAACTTGAAAAAGATCAGCGCAGGGGCACCGCCAGGACCAATGCCGCCAATGAGGACGCCCCTCTGCGAAGCGCTGTCTGGGCCAACGAATAGTCGCCGCAATAATTGGCGAACAACTGCAGACATCTTACCGCGTACCTTATCGACCATCGCATGCCGTATAAATGCGAGTGGCAACCGCGCGTCCTCAGATGTAAACGCAGCGGGGCCGAACGTGCGGAGGCTTGTATAAAACGCCAATGTCTTGCGCTTGTTATCTTGCCTCAATGCATTCCCTGGCACAAACTCGTCAGAATATAAAACAATGTCCCAAGGCGTGGAAGGGGAGCGCGGGCTCTTGCTGAAAGTTGTTGACGCCGAGCGTTTGAAGCTTTCCGATTCTGAAGCGCAGTGCTGAAGCAGACTGGCAAGGTCGGCGACTGGCATATTGAAGTTGCCGTCGCTCAGCTTCAGCTCTATTGGCGCATCGAGAGACGCTGCGGCGAACTCCTCGCGTGCGCGCTGTAGTTTCGACTTCGCAAGGTCGTCCACCAACTCGGGCTGCCCCTTCAGCTTGCGCGCCGCGTCATAGATTGCAGAATCCGACGCGCGAAATGAAGCCACCAGCGGGGCCGACGTGCGTGACCTCTTCGAACTGCGCTCACTACCATCGGTGTTTGGTCGCTCCATCCGGGCTGGCACTGATCCAAACGCTGCGGTTTGGGCCAAACCTGGTTGCGCGCGAAGCGGCAATGAGCGGAAACATTGGCATGGGCATGCAAGTGTAACAAAGCGGTGAGACCGCTGCACGCGTAACGAAAGCAAGAACCGAACAAGTAAGATTGCTACGCAAGCACACAAAGCTGTCATACCGCTATACGGCGCACAACGACGACGTAGCGAAGGAGGGGGGCGATGGGGGGGGGGGGGGAAGGAAGTGATTCTGTCGCGGTTGGGGGGGGGGGTCAGCAAGGTCTAGGGGGGGAGGGGGGGGGGGAGGGGGGGGGGGGGGGGGGGGGCGGGGGTGGAGGAGGAGGAGGAGGAGGAGGAGCATGCGCTTTTGCTATGGAACTGCATCGGCTCCCATCCGCGACGCCGATTGTTGGGCTACTGGAGCGACGCGCCCCTTGTATATCCGACGCTAAGAGGAACGACGAGCTCCTTATCCTACGTGGGAGCGGTTACATCCGCGTTGTGCACTGGCCGGCTCGCTCAGACGTCGAATATGGAGACTTACTCCGAAGTGCGCTGGCCAGCGCCCCCGAGTCTCCGCTGCCCAGCCCCTCGCTGGATCACTTTGCCCACGTGCTGGTCTCGAAAACAGCGGTCGTGGTCTTCATCCACGTCGTCATGTAGCTGACGGCCGTCTTAACCTCGTCCTCCTTGATCTGTGGGGCGATATTCTCGTCCTCCAGGCAGATATTGCGGTGCTTCGCAATTTCGTTTAGGAACTCCTGCTTCTTGTTGGACATTGCGGTGTGCGTCTTCGGCGCCCGGCGACGGCGGGGGTGCTCCTCCTCCCCTATCCTCTTCCTCCTTCTCACCCCGCCCTCCCCCACCTCCTCCTTCTCCCTCCCCGCCTCCTCGCTGACGCCTTCTTCAAGCGATCATCTGCCAGCTGCGTTGCCGTCTTCTTCACCGGCGGCTTCGCCGCCGCCAGCACCGTGTGAACGACCTGCAGGCCCTCGGTGCGCTTCCTCTGCTCCTCCCTCTTCTGGGCTGCCCGCTCCTTGGCCAGCTCTCTGTCAAGCAGATTATGCTGCATCTCGGCTTCGCGGGCCGCCTTTTTCTCAGCTGCGACCTTGGCCCTGCGCTCGGCTGCCAGCTCCTTTGGCGAGAGGCCCGCGTCCGACCCCGATAACTCCTCAGCCTCCTTCGTCGACTTCTTGCCCTTCTTGGACGTTTTGCTGTTCTTGGGCCGCTTGCCCTTCTTGGACTGTTTGCCCTTCTTCTTTTTCTTCTTGTCGGAGCTCGAATCGCTGGAGCTGCTGCTGCTGCTGCTGCTGCTGCTGCTCTTGCGCTTCTTTGAGCCGCGCTTCTTCTCTGGCTTCTGCTCGGGCGGCCCGTTGCCTGCAGCTTCTGCGCCCTCCTCAGGTTTTGAGGCCCCCTCGAGGAAGGCTGCCGCTTTGCGCTTGCGACGTTGGCCCACTGTCTTTGCCACCTCCTGCAAGATGACCTCCTTGATCCTGGCCTCAGAGATCGAGTGGATCGCAAATCGGTGCGCCTTCCCGGGAACGGGGTGCTCCTCGACGTCTGCCGCTGGTGTTTTCTGTCCGATGTCACCCGTATTGTAGCCCAGCTTCTCGTGCACGGACAGGGGCAAGCATTGCCCACTGTGGGTTTCCGCGATGCGCTTCATGCGCACCTGCATGAGCATGTGCTTCACTGCGTCGCGGCAGGCGACAGCGGTGGGGCCGCATTCCCTGTAGAACTCATCCTGCTCCTCTGTGCTGAGCTCGTCGAACTCCGCAATCGGCCACCCGCCGAAGATCCTCCGCAGCGCCTGGTCGCGCACCCTGCACTTGACACACGTGATCTGCGTGCCGTTGTGGGTGATCCTACAGCCCTTCTCAAGCGGATCGCACTCCTTTTCGCGCAAAATGAAATATCGGCGGCTCTTGCGATGCGAGCAACTCCGCAATCTCACCTTTCGTCGGCCCATCTTCAAGGTCTGCAGGTGGCCGCTCCTCAGCTGGCTCCCCCTCGGGTGGCTTCTCCTTCTCAGCTGGTCGCATCTCAGGTGGCTGCTCCTCAGCTGGCTGCTCCTTATCTGCCTGCTCAGCTGGCACCTCTTCTTCAACTTGGGTGTCTTTGGCTTCGGCTGGGCCAGCTGGGCTGGGCTGGGCTGGGGCTGGGGCGTCGGGGCGACCGTCGGGCTCGCCCGCGGCCTGGCCGACGGAGTTGGCCCCGTGGGCCCCCTCCGCTGGCGGCTGGCTCTCTGCGCTGGCGCCTCCTCCTGGCTGCAAACTGCCTGCCGCCCACGTCGGCCCCTGCTGGTTCTTGTGGTTCTGCCCGTTCTGCTTCTGATTCTGCTGGTTGAAAAGCGCATGGAACACGTTTTGCGCTGCAGCTGGTTGCGCGCTGGGCGGGGTGTCGTCCGCGGAGGGCAAGGTCGTCGTCATCGCGTTGGCGATGGCAGTTGCTGCGTCTCCTGGATCAGTAGAACCGCCTCGGGGCCCGTGTGGGGGCGGGGCTGAAGGTGGGGGAGGGGGGGGGGGGGGCGTTGCAAAGCGGTCATGCCGCTGCGCGTGAATGGAGCGATGACATGGCCCGAGGATAGGGCATGAGGGAGGCTGGCCACCGTCAGCTTCCAAAGCCTCCGCCGAGGCCGCTGCAGGCCGCTTTCCGGCGGAGCGCCCTTTGCTCATGGCGCGCGCGCGGGCGGGCCCCCGACGAAGCGGGAGCGCGGAAAGCCACGCGGAGAGTCAAGTAGCTGCGCATGGAGAGTCGCGCGCCACGCGCAGCAATCACAACGCAAAGCGGTCGCGCCGCTGAGTCGAGAGGATATTGCGCGCAGCGGTCGCGCCGCTGAAGCGCTTGGACGAGGAGGGGGCGAAAGAGGAGGAGGGGGAGGAGGAGGAGGAGGAGGAGGAGGAGGAGGAGCACGTTTGACAACTGCAAAGCAAAGCGGTTGGTCTGCTGAGGAGGAGGAGGAGGAAGAGGTGGATGAGGAGGAACAGGAGGAGGAGGAGAAGGAGGAGGAGGAGCGTGGGGACTACGCCGTTCGCAAAAATTCGAAGCAAAGCGGTTGGCCCGCTCCTCCCCCCCCTCCTCCCACGAGAACCCAACAGATCCCCCAGCAGGAGGAAGAGGAGGAGGGGCAGGACAAGGAGGGGGAGGAGCAGGATGAGGAGGAGGAGGAGCAGGAGGAGGAGGAGGAGGAGGAGGAGGAGGAGGAGGAGGAGGAGGGGCAGGCGGAGGACGAGGAGGAGCAGGAGGAGGAGGGGGAGGGGGAGGGGCGGGAGGAGGAGGAGGAGGAGGAGGAGGAGCAGGAGGAGCAGGAGGAGGAGGAGGAACAAATCAGAGGAACAAATCAGTGAGGACGAAAAAAAACGGAGAAACAATTGAGAGAACAAAAAAACAAAAAACAAAAAACCTGTGGTGTCCCGTGGTGTCCCGATGGTGTTCCGCATGTGTTCCGGTACCAGATACGCGACGTCATGACTTTTTGTCAGGATGGCGCCCCTGGAAGTCCCGACCCTTTCCCCGGGGCCGGCGTTTCGTCCCAAGTCGTTTTTGGACGGTCCCGAGGCGCGGCGAGGGCCCCCTGGGGCCGAGAATAACCGAAAACCTCCCGTCCTGATTTTTTGGTCACGACGCGATTATGTCTGGGCATGTGTTCCGATGGTGTCTCGGTGGTGTCCCGATGGTGTCCCGGTGGTGACCTGACGGTGTCTCGACGGTGTGCCAGTGGTGCGCCAGGCTCTGCCAGTGAGTCGGGCGCCGCTGCTGGTTCGAACCAATGCACCTTGTTCTCGGTAGTGGACTGGGGCTGAGGTCCCGCCGAGCGCGCTTTCTGCTGCCTTGACCTCTGGCGCGGGCACTGCGCTCAGACAGAATCTCGCGGGCGCATCACCAGCATCGTCGCCATCACAATCATCGCGGTGGTCATTCGTTGACTCCCCCCCGCAATGGAAGAACAAAAAACCACATAAACATAAACTGTTGGAAGTCCGCGCGGATTTCTTGGACCCGCGCTGAACCGCGCGCCAGGGGCTCCGGCGCCGGGGGGCCCAGCGCCGATCCAAGAAACCCGCGCGACGCGCCACAAGTTCAACGTTTGTATGATTTGTTCTTCTTCGCCACAAAATCCGTGCGTCATCGCCAAAGGTGGTCGTGTAGGTTACTCCTAACTTCTGAATGAGCGTCGGCGGGGCGTCGCCCCCGCCGACAGCCCCACATCGACCCCCGTCGCGGCCAGCCGCCGCGCGCCGAAGGCCCGCCGACCCGCGTCGCGGCGCGGCGACGAGGCGAGGCTGACCCCCGTCGGGGGGGGTCCTATCCCACGCGTGCAGTGCGGACGCGGCCGCAAGAAGCCCTCGCAAGAAACCCAACCCTGAGGCCCCGAGCGCGAGGTGCACCTGAGGGGAAACCTGGATCACCCTGAACGCAGCAGCTCCTTCAACGGCTGCGGGAAGTCACCGCGCAGTGCGAGGAGCGAAGAAACCCAGGGCACCCCGACGAAAAGCATATGGTTTCTTGATGCGCGCCCCCACAATATTGCCTGTCCCCGAGAGCTGGGCCCCATGGTCTGATGAGGCCCGCGGGTTCCCCCCGCTGCGTCTGCCGCGGCCGCGCGCGCGCCTCGCCGACGGCGGTGCGCTTCAGCTGCGACCGGCTGCGCGGGCAAGCTGAAGGGGCCCAGGGGCACGCGCAAATAGATATACACACGTCCCAGGATTCGCCGTATCTTCTCACATGCTCTGGATGTTCGTCTTCCCCCCCCACTTCCCATATCTCTCCACATTCCCCTGGCAGTCGACGATTCATTGTGCCCGTGTGAACTTACCCTCCTGAAATGAGTGCTTCCAGAGCGCTCGGCTGCGCGAACAAGTTACAGATGAGGTGCATGCCCGGACGGCACTCGCCTACACCGCTCAGTAGCCTCGCTGGAAGCGCGTTCGTGCTCGAACCAAGGCCGAGGTGCGCGGGTCCCCGAGGCGTCCGAGCCTACGCTTGTGCACCTTTGGGGAAAATCAAGGTTGCCGATACCGCTGCACCCCGGACCTCTCCTGGGATGCATTCCGACAAACATTTGGAGGCGAATCCAGCGGTGGCGACGAGGGCCTCCCAGGAGATCCAACAAGGGAAACACGAGGAAAGGGTAGCGGTATGGGTACCTCTCTTCCTCCTCCGAGTCCGTGGGTCCCCCCCAGGCGTCCGAGGTCCGTAGGTCCCTCCCGCGTCAGTCACAGTCGAGGAGGAAGAGGAGGAGGAGGAGGAGGAGGAGGAGGGGGAGGAGGAGGAGGAGGAGGAGGAAGAGGAGGAGGACGAGGAGGACGAGGAGGAGGACGACGACAAGAAGAGGAGGACGAGAAGGACGAGAAGGGAGAACATGGATGAACGATCCATGGATTTGGCGCGCCGGTCGGCAAATCCATGGATCGGGGGAGGTGCCCTCCCCACAAGTGCGGCAGGTGCCGCCTCGCACGGCGGCGGGAGCCCGCGATTCCCCACGGGAACGGGGCCCGCCGCTAGTCCACGCCCCCTTGATCCGTGTTCGCGATCGCCTGAGAGTCGGAGCCGAAGCGTGCAGCGCGCATGTCTCTGTTGTCGCCCCCAGTGGACACGACATCGGAGCGCCGAGACCCTCAGAGATGGGGAAGCGGATAGAGGAACAAAAAACTGTGCACACACACCGATTCTGGCCAGGCCCATCCTGAGCCCAGGATCGGTGCATACGCCCTCCTGCCTTGGCCGGGAAGGCATATGCACCGATCCTGGGGCCAAGGATGGGCCTGGCCAGAAATATGTGTGTTGTTTCTTTTTTATGCTTGCGTGGCTGTCTAGATCCCAACAAGAATAACATAACATATGTTATTGCATTTTTTGCTGGTAGGTTTACAATTAAGTGCAATAAGAAAACGTACGACCGCAACTAATATTGACTATTGTATTGTGTGGTTGCGTGGTTGTTTAGACCCCAACAAAACTAACTACAATGTTGTATTGTATGTGTGTTGGTAGGTTTACGGTTAAAACAATAAGAACACATACGATCATCAATCAATTTAAATATTGTATTATATGTTTGCGTGGTTGTTAGACCCAATCACACATACTATAAAACGTTTTATTGTATGTGCGCTGATGCTTACAATTTAACATACTAAGAACACATACGACCAACAATGAAATAACATATGTTACTTTATTTTTGGTTGGGCCCTGGGGATCCACGGAAAATAATATAAACTATTCCATTTTGGTCCCTGGGGATCCTCGCCGGGGAGCCTCGCCGACAATATGCATCATCGTCGCCATGGGATACCCAGATCGCTCCCCCATGGGCTATTCGCCCGTCTCCGACCGCCAGGGGCCACGTCAAGTGTGGATGTTTCAGGGGGAGGCGACTTTCTCGCCAGCCCGGATCCGACCCTGTTCGAACCCTCCGCCCTGACATCGGCTCTGACTCCCGCACCGTCCCAGGAGCTTCGATCTTGAAGCTTACACCGGACAGTTCCCCGCCCGGATCCGACCCTGTTCTAGCCCCCCGCTTTGTTTGACATCTGCTCTGGCCCCCGCGCCGTCCCAAGTGTTTCGTCCCAAGCGTTTGCTCTTTTATCGGGCCCCCAAACACGACCATTTCCTGTCCAGCCCCGACCATGTCCTAGCACCCCGCTCTGACCCCTGCTCTGGCTCCCGCACCGCCCTGGGAACTGTGTTCTGGGCCCCCAAACCCGACAACTTCACACTCGGATCCTGCCTTGTTCTAGCCGTTTTCTCTTACCCTTCCTGTGACCACCCCACCGACCACCGCACCGTCCCAGTTCACAACTGACATTTGTCCGCTCGGACCCTACCCTGTTCTAGCCACTTGCTCTCACATTTGCTCTGACCCCCCGCACTGTCCCAAGAGCTCCGTCCCAGGAATTCTGATTTTCGGCCTCCGCACCCCCGACAGTTTTCGGTTCAGATCCGACCCTGTATTCGCCCCCCGTTCTGACCTTT